CACACCTGGTCCAGCCCAACTTCCCATGGGGGGGCGCCATCAACACAGTCAGGAGTTTTGAAATCATACAACTGACATTTTGAAGAGAAGGAGAGTTTAGACTCTGAGGACGATGATGATGATGATGATGATGATGATGATGATGATGATGATGATGATGATGATGATGATGATGCAGCAACAAACTGACTCTCCTACTGGACCGTCACCATCCCACCTGTCACCTGTCAGTGACGGCTCCCCCTCAGGTGAGTATAGATTCACTACACCTCCCAAACCACAGTCACCATGGTAACAACACATACTGAAGGGGTCAAGACCGTGCACACACACACACATGCACACACACACACACACACACACACACACACGTAATCTCCACCAGCGGTTTCCCATCATCCTCAGCTGGAGCCTGTTAACCACCTGGCGACAGGTGAACAGCTCCACGACCCTCGTCACACACAGAGTCTAAAACAAAGACTCATCATCTCTCTTGTCCTCAGTCAGTTACTCAGTTACCCCCCCCCCCTAAAAAAACAAACAAAACAAACAAACAAAAAAACCCACAAAACCAGAACCATGAGCCAGAACCAGAACCAGTCTGTTCACACAGAGACCAAGACTGGAACCAGAACTGGACCACAGCTACAATCTGAGGTTTTCATCTTCAGAGGCTGCGGAAGGATGTTCAAATAAAAGAAAAGCAAAAGAAATAAAGAGACAGAGAGAGTTACAGAAACAAAGACAAAGAAATGAAGAGATAAAGATAAATAGAGATAAATATAGAAATAGATAGATGAAGAGAAAGACAAAGAAATGAACAGATAAAGATATAGATATATATATAAAGATACAGAAATAATGACACGAATAAATAAATAAATAAATAAACAGACAAGGAAATAAAGAGATAGAGAAATAAAGACATAAAGAAATAGATATATATAAAGAGGTAAAGAAATAACGAAGTAGAGATACAGAAATAAAGACATAAATAAAGAAATAAATAAAGAGATGAGGAAATGAAGAGATGATAAAGTAATAAAGATAAAGAAATAAAGAAATAAATGAAGAGATAGAGACAACACAGACAAGGAAATAAAGAAGTAAAGAGGTAGATAGAGAAATAGAGATAAAGAAATAAATGAATAAAGAAATAAAGAGAGATAAAGAACGCCACAAACATCTGTTACAAAAAGAAAATCCTGTTCATCACTGATGTTAGTGAAAGGGAGTGAGGGGGGAGATACATGTACTCACCACAAGGGACTGTCAGCCTCCCCTGAGCTGGGGGAGGGGGAGGAGGAGGAGGAGGAGGAGGAGGAAGAGAACAGACGAGGGAGGAGAGAGAAGAAAGAGAGAGAGAAGATTAGAGCAACAGACTAAACATTTTAATGTTATAATGGAGAGAGAGGGGGCGAGAGTCATGGCGTTGTAATGGAGAGAGAGAGAGAGGAGTTGCAGCTCGTCCTCCTCACATTTCAATCTTCATCAAAACAAAACCTAAACACAGACATCCAGAGGGATTCTAGATTATCAGATAAAGGTCCAGACCAGATCTAGACCAGATCCAGACCAGAACCAGAGTGGGTAAAGAACAGATCCAGAAACGATAACAAATAAAATCCAGAAAGGTTCATGAAACAAAGAGATGATAAAGAAATTATACCAAATAAAAACCAGGGATAAAAACAATATGACCTGAAATAAATAATTAAAGATCCGAAATATTAAAAGAAAAGATCATTTGATCCAGAGACGATCAGAACATGATACGATCTAAAGATCTGAACTGATCCAGCAGTCACTGAATCACTTCACACACTTAATTTACCTCAGTCCTGTTTATCTACAGCAAGAGTTACCATTAATCTACAGCATCCTGGTTACCATAGCTACGTCACCATGGTTACCATACATCCCAGTTCAGTTCCAGTCACTTCACTTACTTGAAAGTGGATTTTGTCTCAGACTTGTTGCTCGGCTGCTCCGGGTTCAACTGGGACGACTTCTCCTGGAGAGAGGGATCAGACGAGGGCGAGCTACATACACACACACAGACAGATACACACACACACAGACACACACAGACACACACATAGAATGAGTGAACAGCCAAGAATGGAAAGAGAGAGAGTAAACACTCCGGTTTCCAAACACTGTTATCTGCCAGTTCACTCCACTGCTGTCTGTGTGTGTGTGTGTGTGTGTGTGTGTGTGTGTGTGTGTGTGTGTGTGTGTGTGTGTGTGTGTGTGTGTGTGTGTGTGTGTGTGTGTGGTGTGTGTGTGTGTGTGTGTGTGTGTGTGTGTGTGTGTGTTTGTGTCTGTCTGTGTGTGTATGTGTGTGTGTGTGTGTCTGTGAGTGTGTGTCTGTCTGTGTGTCTATGTGTGTGTCTGTCTGTGTGTGTTTGTGTCTGTGAGTGTGTGTATGTCTGTGTGTCTATGTGTCTGTCTGTGTGTGTGTCTCTGTGGGTCTATGTGTCATTCTGTCTGTGTGTGTGTGTGTTTGTGTGTCTATGTGTCTGTCTGTCTGTGTGTGTGTGTCTCTGTGTGTCTATGTGTCTGTCTGTCTGTCTGTGTGTCTATGTGTCATTCTGTCTGTGTGTGTGTGTGTGTCTCTGTGTGTCTATGTGTCTGTCTGTCTGTCTGTCTGTGTGTCTATGTGTCATTCTGTCTGTGTGTGTGCGTGTGTCTCTGTGTGTCTATGTGTCTGTCTGTCTGTGTGTCTATGTGTGTGTGTTTATGTGTGTGTGTCTATGTGTCTGTCTGTCTGTCTGTGTGTCTATGTGTGTCTGTCTGTCTGTGTGTCTATGTTTGTGTGTTTGTTTGTGTGTGTGTCTCTGTGTGTCTATGTGTCATTCTGTCTGTGTGTTTGTCTGTCTGTGTGTATGTGTCTCTGTGTGTCTCTGTGAGTCTATGTGTGTGTGTGTTTGTGTGTGTGTGTGTCTCTGTGTCATTCTGTCTGTCTGTGTGTATGTGTCTCTGTGTGTCTCTGTGAGTCTATGTGTGTGTGTGTTTGTGTGTGTCTCTGTGTCATTCTGTCTGTGTGTGTGTATGTGTCTCTGTGTGTGTGTGTCTCTGTGTCATTCTGTCTGTGTGTGTGTGTGTGTCTGTCTGTGTGTGTCTCTGTGTGTCTATGTGTCATTCTGTCTGTGTGTGTGTGTCTGTCTGTGTGTGTGTCTGTGTGTGTGTGTGTGTGTCTCTGTGTGTGTGTGTGTCTCTGTGTGTCTCTGTGTGTGTGTGTGTCTGTGTGTGTGTGTGTGTCTCTGTGTGTGTGTGTGTCTCTGTATGTGTGTATGTGTCTCTGTGTGTGTGTGTGTCTCTGTGTGTCTATGTGTCATTCTGTCTGTGTGTGTGTGTCTCTGTGTGTCTCTGTGTCATTCTGTCTGTGTGTGTCTATGTGTCATTCTGTCTGTGTGTGTGTGTGTGTCTGTGTCTCTGTGTGTCTTTGTGTGTCTATGTGTCATTCTGTCTGTGTGTGTGTGTTTCTGTGTGTCTATGTGTCATTCTGTCTGTGTGTGTGTCTGTGTGTGTGTGTGTCTCTGTGTGTCTATGTGTCATTCTGTCTGTGTGTCTGTCTGTGTGTATGTGTCTCTGTGTGTCTCTGTGTGTGTGTGTGTGTTTCTGTGTGTCTCTGTGTGTGTGTGTGTTTCTGTGTGTCTCTGTGTGTCCGTGTCATTCTGTCTGTGTGTGTGTGTCTGTGTGTGTGTGTGTCTGTCTGTGTGTGTGTGTCTCTGTGTGTGTGAGTCTCTGTGTGTCTCTGTGTGTCTATGTGTCATTCTGTCTGAGTGTGTGTGTCTCTATGTGTGTGTGTCTGTCTGTGTGTCTCTGTGTGTGTGTGTCTCTGTGTGTGTGTGTGTGATTCTCTGTGTGTCTCTGTGTGTGTGTCTGCTTCTTGAAAAACCTTTTGATTTAAAGTTATTGATCCGACTCTCTGCAGCTACCTGAGGAGAATCCTACGTTCTCCAGGAGAGGTCAAAGATCAGAGGTCATCACCTCATCCAATGAATGGTCAGTGACCCATGTGACCAGAACCCTGACCAAACATTGGATCAGTATCACTGTTTATTTATCAGCTGATAAACAGGCAGCTGAAACCTCTAGCGCCTCCCTCAGGTCAGACTTATTATCTGTAATGAGAACAGCGGCCTGCAGGAGGCGCTAACAGGAAGTGTCAGTGCTGTGATGTCATAGCAGATGGAGTTCCAGTCGGCAGGTCTGAGGTCAGTCTCAGTTCTACAGACCTGCAGGAGGCGGAGGGCTCCTCAGAGATGGAACTGGTTTTGGAGAAGAGCCTGGATTTCCTGCTCAGACCCAGAGCCGACATGTGGTGACTGAGGAAAGAGCGACTCCTGGTGGTCAGGTGGAGGGGGGGGTCAGGGGGTTGGGGGGGGGAGCGGGGGGACAGTGGTTAAATCAGAGACAGTGAACCCACCACCAAGACACCCAGAATAAGAACCAGAGCCAGAGCCAGAACCCAAAGAAGACACCTGAGACTGCAACAAAGAATTATTTGCATTATTGATGAATCTGCTGATTATTTTCTGGAACCAGATCATGGTCCAGCTGTTTTCATCCAGAACTGGTTAATAAAAACAAATAAGATAAAGAGATACTGAGATAAATAGATGAAGACTTCAAGAAATAAAGAGGTAATGAAATAGAGATAAAGACAAAAGAGAGGACGAAATAGAGATACAGAAAGATTTCCCACCAGGTTTAGTTATTTGAGTTCAGTCACTGTAAAAACCTGAACAGATTCAGATTTCATTAAACTATATCTAACTGTAAACTCACGCTCTCTCATGTTTTTAATATTGTATTTAATTTATATATTATATTAAATGTGATTATTCAAACTGTAATTGAGTTTGATGTTTAGTGTTTGTAACTGACTCAGAAACCTAACAGCCAACATTCCTGCTGATCGACCTCAGAGAAGAACTGAGTCCAAATAAAACCCAGTCCTCCGTCTGTCAGGTTAAACTTGGTCAAGAGGG